CTCACACCAGGAAAGGGGCTTGTTTGGTGGGTATCGTGGAATCGGGTAATGGTACTTGGCCGGACGCAGTCTGGCCAGGACAGTTAATCATCGGAAGACGTGGCAGAGGAGTATTTATCTTGTAAGCAGCTGAGCCCTTCTGGAAACATATTGTCTCAGGTTTGTCTCTCCTCATCTAAAGCAATCCATTACTCACCTACAAGTGCTGTCGTGGACCCTAGCAGCTGTGACGACCGCCTTCCGCGATACTCTTGACATGAGTAAACAGGAAAAATATTTTCACTGCTGTATCTTGAAGATTTTTTTTTTTAGAGAGCCCGAAAATGGAGGTGATTTTTCTATTCTGAAATATAAGGAACATGTGATCTTATTTTTGAAGGAAGGGTTTGTTTTAAATGATGATTATTATTAAGTGGAAACTTGGTGAGCTTGTTACCACAGACTCATTTAGCAGTTGGAGTCTTGCTCTCATTTGAGAAATCTCTCAAACTGCAAAGATGAGATCAGCATCTGTACCCTCAAAGGAGCGATACACCCACCCCATCTCTCTCACTTCCACTATCAACTGTCCTGTCAGTACTGGATCATTCTCACCCACATAGGCACACCTAGTTCCCATCAAGAAATATGAAACCTCTGTGACCTCACGCCTGCCCGCCAAGTTCACCCCATTGTTCTCCTCCTCATTTGGTGTAACTCCTCGAACCAGGAGCATCTGCTTTCTCACCCCCATTCGCTCTTCTCTCCGCAGGTGTACTCCCCCCACGCCCCACCCCACACCCCACACCCCGCAGCCTCTGACACGGTCCACTCGGGGCGGCTCTTGAAACACTCTTGACTGAACATACTGTGGACATTACTGATTTACCCCCTGACTGTCCTGCTTCGCTGTCCTGCCTCTCAGAGTTGGATGGCTCAGACTCTGGTCATTTGTATTCATTTTCTATTGCTGATAACAAATTAACACACACTTTGTGACTTAAAACAACACAACACAAATTTATTTCCTACGGTTTCCATGGACCGGGAGCCCGTGCTAAGGTGTCAGCGGTGGAAATTAAAAGCTGTTGGCTGGAACGGGGATCTCAGCGGAGACTCGAAGCCTTCTTCTGTCGTCGTCTAGGCCAGTGGTTCTCAACCTGTGGGTCCTGACTCCTTTGGGGGTCGAGCAACCCTTTCACAGGGGTCACCCAATTCATAGCAGTAGCAAAATTAGTTATGAAGTAGCAACGAAAATAATGTTATGGTTGGGGGTCACCGCAACATGAGGAGCTGTATGAAACGGTCACGGCATGAGGAAGGTTGAGAACCACTGATCTAGGTAGTGTTCAGTGGGACTTTGAATGGTTCTTTACAGTTTTAACTGCTGATGGAGAATTTGCATTTCTACCCCAGATACACTGAGTCAGAATCTTCTTGTTAACAAGATCCCCAGGTCATCCTTACAGCCACGTGGAGACTCGCCTGTGAGATCACTTGGGTATCTTGTTACAGATTGTGATTCAATACATCTGGGCTGGAAATGCAACTCCTCAGCAGGTGAACTGCTATGGGCCCGTTAGCAACCCTGGAATTCCGTTTCTGTCAGATGTAGTGTTAGCCCTGTATCTTGCTGCTCCAGAGCAGAGATGGCTTCCAGCCCTACGCTGCACTCAGGTACTAGGATAAGGTGACCAGACGCTGCTTTTGGCAGGACAGTCCCGATTTTTAACAATTTTTCCTGCGTTCCTCAGCATTTAAAAAAAGTCCCAATTTTTGGAAAGAATGCACGACAAGCTAGGGCATATGGTTTTCAGCTGCCATGTGGCTATTTCGCCAGGATATGAGTTTGATCAATGGTGTCCCGTTTTACCAATGTTAAAATCTGGTCACCTTATACTAGGAGGGTGGACATCTCTCTCAACACAGCGGCTTCTTCAAAACCAGCAGTTGGCTAGGATAGTGTCTTATATAGCCAGCTATGAACAATGTAATTTTATTTAGCTTTTGTGCATACGTGTATGTAGAAAGACTTCCAAGCAGAATTTCATTGTATTGATTGATTTGAAATATTATAGGTTGCTTTTCTTTCTTTATAATTTACTTATTAGACTTTGTATTTTTTTTTAGAAAGATGACTAAGTAGTTCTGATCTCAAATACTTGATGAGCTACAACAATAACAACTACCAAAGACATAAAATACTTACCTTGAAATCTTTATGTGGAGGGCAATATATCAAGGGTTTGGGTACAAAACTTTGGTAGTATTTCATTTCTCTATATTATGTTTGGGAATAGCACTTTCTTTTATTGACTCCTCCCTCAAGCTTCATCTTCATAATTAAGAGACATTTCTGTTTTTTATTTTTTATTTACAGCTTAAGAAATGTATGAAAACTCCAGAAATCCCTTCTAAACATGTTAGAAACTGGGTCCCAAAAGTCTTGGAACAACGTCGACAAGGTTTGGAAACCTATTTACAGGTAAGATGTAGAAAAACTAAAACCAAAACAAAATGAAAGTACAGTCTGTATGAAACCGATATAGTATTTCCTCTACTGAGGATTTTGAGGCTCTTGTTCCTGAATCTATGATTATTGAAAATTGAGGAAAAGCGTTCTCTAGGCTTCATCTCAGTTACATATTTACGCACTCTCCCAGTAGAAAGATGCCAAGAGTTGGTTCCGGGCTTCAGGTGCTTTTCAAAAGGTTGGCAGAGGACCAGACTGCGCTGCTTTCCTTTGTGCTTAAGGTCAATATGGGTCCGAACAGACGGGACAGCACCGAACATCAAGAGCTTCAGTTCAGCTCAACTAACTGTATGCCTCAGTGTTTTCCTCAGAACGTTCAGATGTGGTAGAAAATATATCAAACAGCTTAAAATGAAGGAAGTTTAAAATTATCAATACATTGTCGGTTCTTTTAGATTTAATTAAGCTTACTTAAGTTCTTTTATCTTTCATTTTAATTTCAAAAAGTTATGGGAATCAGAAATTTAAGTATAAAGGTGAAAAAAAATGAATGGAAGGTCTATCCATTTTTAAAATTCAACTCTTAAGTCTCAGGTTCTCTGAGTTTGGAATAAGGTATGCAAGTGTCCAGGTGACTATTAACATAATCATTGCTATCATGGAATTCCAAGAGGACCATATAAAGCAAGGACTGGGAGGGGCAAGCCTGTGTTCAGCCAGTGTGCTCGCTTGTTCCACTGGAGAGGCTAAAGGATGAGAGTGACTGAGGTGAGAATGGCCAGATCTTGGCTGTCAGGAAAGGGAACTGGTTGGTCTTCACTGAAGAGGCGCATACTTACCGTGATGGTCTATGCACCTAAGGCGCCTTCCATCAGAGAAAAAGGCAGTCTGAACTGTGGTCCTCCTTTGATATCATCTTACGCTCTGTAGACCTTGACCCCATTGTGGATTCTGTGGACTGTCTGAAGCCAATAGAGTGTTTCCTCTATAGAGATTTTGGTTCCTGAATCCATAATTATTGACAGTTAAGGACAAGCTGTCTCTATAGACTCAGGCTTAAGGATATATTCAAAGGACTCTCCCAGGAGAAAGATGGTAAGAGTCTCTTCCTGACTTCAGGTGAATTCAAAAGTTGTTCTGGTCTTCACAGTGCTCAAGAGGAAGGCCAAAAAACTGGGGGGGTTGCTGGGAATATCTGTGGTGGAAGGAAGGCGCTCTCCAGATTTGCTCTTCTGCTTTGGACATGATAGCGGGATGCTGTACTGCCTTACCCTAAGGGGCAGGGGCTGCAAGCAGATGGGGACCCAAAGTCACAAGAATGTGTGTGGCCTTGTTCCTTGAGACTTCTTATGTAGAGACTTCCATAGCTTTGGGCAAGACTAAAGAGAAAATTTGAAAAAATAAAACAATGAGACTTCAGAAATTATATGTGCTGGATAAAAACACAAATTCTCTATAAGCAGAAGAAGTAAACAATGCATTCTTATTTGTAAGTCAGAGTTTCCACAGATATTGTGTCTCTTCAAACTGCTGTGTGGAAGAAAGCTTTGCACCACCCCTCCCCCCTCCCTGTTTGACACATGACTTCCATTACCACCCCATGTAAACATGTTAAGTTGTTTGTACATTGGCTATAAATATGTGGACAACATCAACTGGCACAGAGAAGAGTTCACAGCGACACTCAAGTTGAGCTTAGACATTTTTAGTCTCAGAAGTAGGGCTTGAAAGACTGGGAAGGCTTGACTCTTACTGTGTGCGTAATGGTCAGCTTGTCCCTTCTTTCCCCGAAGACTTCAAGGGAGCTTCTCTTCTTTCTTTCCCTCATTTGACTCTATTTATAGGCAAAGGGAGCCGGACCGAAGTTGTGAAGTGAGTACACATGATTTATAAATCCCAATGATGTGAAAACCTTGACCCAAATGCTATTTGATAACTTTGGGTGTTTACGTTTCTTTAGAAGCAACACAATATTACTACTTCTTCTGTTCCTTTGTTCACCCTTTAACTCCAGGTAGAATCATCCTTACCATCAGATTCTGTCTCAGCCCTAGTAAGCAGACTGCATTACCGATTCTCGGCTGGCAGCATCTTGCAGCAGACCCCTCCCACAGGAGGAAAGCCTCTGAAGCTAAGGAAGTATTCATAGACTCTTGACATCACAGGAAATAGACCACACGTATTCGAGTATAAGCCGACCCAAATATCAGCCAAGGCACCTAATTTTACTCCCCAAATTTCATTAAAAATGTGCTGAAAAACTCGGCTTATACATGAGTATATATGGTAGTCATTACCTAGTCCGAGTTATGTTCAGGATGATCCCTAGGGCCTCAGTTTCCCACACACAAAACATCCAGGAAGATTAGTTCTTCATAGGGCATTCCTTCTACTTGTCCAAGACACAAATAGGGCATTTTGGACAATGGGAGATTACAAATTTCTTAAGATAGCCCACATTGCTATTGTATCTCACAGCAAGATAAAAGGTTCCAGTAAGGTTATAGGAATTGCCTGAATTTCCAGAATATATTAGCTAAAGGACTGGGACTGGACCTTGAGTACCCTAACTTCCAGTAGAGCGTTCTTCATGACCTGCTGTGGATTTCTTAACCCAGAGAAACATTTTCACCCTTGCTATGAAGCTTTACAAGATGCAATGTTGTTGTTAGGTGCTGTGGAGTGGACTGTGGCTCATAGTGACCCTAGCTACAAGAGAACAAACATTGCCCAATCCTGCTCCACCTTCACAGTTGTTAGGTTTGAGCTAATGTTTGCAGCCATTGCCTTATGGAGGGCCTCTTCTTTTTGTTGATCTTCTGTTTTACCAAGCATGATGTTGTTCTCCGGGGACTAGCCTGCAGTGTGTCTAAAATACATGAGACAAGTCTCACCGGCCTCACTTCTAAGGAGCATTATGCAAGTACTTCCTCCAGGGCAGATCTGTTTGTTCTTCTGGCAGTCCATGGTACTTTTTATATTCTTTGCCAACACCATAGTTCATTGTGTCAGTTCTTCTCTGGCATTCCTTATTTATTGTCCAGATTCCCCATGCCTGTGGAGTATGGGAAATGCCATGTTTGGGGTCAGGTGCACCATCATACTCAGAATGACATCTTTGCTCTTTCACCCTTCAAAGTGGCCTCACACCGCAGATTTTCCCAATGCAATCATATATCTCATTTGATTACTTGGCTCCTGCTTCAGTGAACATTGTGAATCCAAGTAAAATGAAATTCTTGGCAACTTCATTGTTTTCTCGTTTTCATTTGAAAGTAAGCATCTTTCTAGTATTCCCTGCTGTCAGCTACAATCCATCTGACATCAGCCATGAGGATACTGCTTGTGCCACATTCCCAGCTAAATGTGGCATGAATTTCTGCTGGTCCTTAGTGCTGTAACCCTTTTTCATTTGCCTTCAGCAGGATTTTACCTGCATGTGATATTAATGATACTGTTCCATAGTTTTCACATTCATTGGGATCACCTTTTTTGGAATAGTAACAAATACGGATCTACTCCAATTGGTTAATCAGGTAACTAGCTGTCGTCCAGATTTCTTGACACAGACTAGAGAGAACTTCCAACGCTGCATTGGTATGTTGAAGCATTTCTCTTGATGTTCTCGGTCAATTTCTATAACTTTGTTTCTCACTAATACTTTTAGTCCAGCTTGGACTTCTTCCTTCAGTACATCATCAGCTCTTCATCATGTGCTGCCTTTTGAAATGGTTGAATGTTGACCAGTTCTTTTTGGTAAGGTGACTGACTCTGTGTATTCTTTCCTCGTTACTTTGATGATCCCTGCGTTTTTCAGTATATGTTGGCTTCAAGAAGAGTATAATTAAATTAAATGTAATTATATTTCAATTTACAGTTTAACTGACTGTTACCTAGTGGGGTCTTTTCTCAAAGAACCTGGCCTCCCCTTTATTCAAAGGTTGTGAGTCTGTAAACTGGCTCAAGTTTAAGAATTGATCTAGGGACCACGACTCACCCTTCCCTTCCTAGGTATAGATAACTATTTGAGAGATGGGTGACTCTTTAAATCTGTCACTTGAATACTTAAAATTGCATAAAAACTATGAGCTTCTGTTTGGGGTGTGGAAGTCATCTGGCAGAACATTTATAGTGACATTCAAATTGAGTGTCATATTTGAAAGACTAACTTAAATATAAGAAAAATAAATAAATCTCTTCACAAAATTAATTTTGCCATAAATCTGTCTCAATAGCTTATACTTTTAGAATTTTTCATTCCTTTGCCTATTCACCAATAATTCGAAAATGATAGATGAAGAAAGGCTACACTTGTTACTTATTTGCTTATTTCTTCAGTTTGAAAAGAAAAACATTCATATTACTTTTCAAAAACTATTCTTAAATGTTTCTTGCTTTTCTATATTGGCATCTCTGTCCATTTCAATTTGTCTTTGGTATTGCGGACATGGGATTAAGAACTTTCTAGTGTTAGTTTAAAATGTATGAGTTCTTTAAATGTTTTTCACTACATTTAGGCAAACTGCTTTATTATGTAATAGAAAGTTCTGATCTTAAGGGGGTGGGGAATTAAGCATACCAAACAAAAACCTCCTGCCATCAAGTCGATTCTAACTCATGGTGACCTTCAAGGACAGTGTAGAACTGCCTCCATGGGGTTGAAGAGCCTGCAACCCTTCACAGCAGTACAAACTTCATCTTTCTTCTGTCGAGTGACTGGTGGTTTTAAACTGCTGACCTTGTGGGTCACAGCCCAACACGTAACCACCATGCCATCAAGGCTGCTTATAAACCAGATAGTGTGGGATTTCTGTAGTATAGGTGACATGCTGCAGCACTATGAGTAGATTTTAACCAGTGATTTTACCCTGAAAAGTCTCTTGTCAGCCTAGAGCAGGTGTGAGGTATTTCTGGCCCATCGGCCAGATAAGGCCCCCAAATTGTCAATATTGGCTAATACCTCAGTAAAGAGAACTGTTCTGGCCATCACATTAGGGTTGAGCTAATTAAAT